CAGAAAACCATGATCTGGATTCAAATGTTAAATTGAATTTAATTCAGGTGACAAAGGGTTTTCTTAAAGGCATTTATCCTTTGAATATCCTTTATGGTCCATGGCCAAATTTATAATATAAACATCAATATCTGTGCACATAAATTGTAACTTCATATACTTTTCATATAGAAGTTACCCTCAAATTAGCATTGGTTTATGAAACTTAATAGTGAATTTAGTTTCAATATGGATTGGATTCTTGTCTTAAGTTAGAAAATCTAGTGTGAAAAGTTTTCTTCTTTTTCTTTCATGTTTTTTTTTTCCTCTGTTAGAGCTAGTCAAGTGTCATGACTTGTTTTTCTTGAAATTCTTCATCCTTGTCAAAACAACCTTGTTTTCTTTTTGGTTGTGATTCAAAGGGTAGATTTTAATATGGTTGACAAATGTACATGTGTGTGCTCTTGTACCTTGTGATTGATAGAAACACATATATATATATATAGAGAGAGAGAGAGAGAGAGAGAGAGAGAGAGAGAGAGAGAGAGAGGGTGAGAGAGAGAAATACGAGCAGTGTATTTTTAAATATTTAATATATCCAAATATTTTACTTAATAAAATGCCTGACTAGGAGATTAACTATAAGATTGATAGTGAATTTTTATTTTGCTTTCATACTAATTTTTAAATTATATATAAAGAATATACTGGGCTGCTATTGTATTGCTAATGTGCTTATAGGAGTAGTCACGTTATGGCCTTGTTTGGTAGAATGAAATATGGATTCTTGTGGCCATCTGACAGGCTTGCGTGAACACATGCATAATAAAATGATAATATGTTGGAGTTTTTGTACATATTAAAGCTGCTTGTTTTCTTTTGTTTTGTTGCTCATAGCATTGATTTGACCTGAGTGCACTGAAATTCAAAAGGGAATCCATGCTTTTAAATAGTCAATAACTTAGATGTTCCAATTACATAAGCCTTTATTCTTGCCTTATAGATCTATATTAAATTGGTTACATTTTTATGTTGAAATTGTGACAAAGATAAATCATCAGTTATATATAAATTTATGTGTATGTATGTTTGCATATATTTCTGCATATAGTTTATGTTTGCATATATTTCTGCATATAGTTATTTATGTTGATATGAAAAAAACCATACTTGAGGGATTATTTCATAATATACTTTACTTCAACATATATACATGTTAAGGTTTGGTGCATAATGTCATGATTTATCATTACTTTGGCTTGTTTGGTGACTGGGTTAGCTGCAGCTATGAAATTGATATTTGTCATCTTGAGAAAAACATGAAACAGCTATTAAGGGGAGGAATATTTTGGTCTTTGTTCACTGTTTTTTCCTAGATAGGATATTTACAGGAGCGGATCCAGAGATATTTCCTGAGAGTCTTCCAAATTATCTTTGTTGATCCATCCTCCATTTTTGACCGTCTTCCGACAGAAAAAATTATATACCTGTCAATGGAAACTTGAAAATCCGACCATCTTCTGGAAGACCCAGAAGACGGCCTGAATCCGCCCCTGATTTATATAAGAGCATGTCTTACATTTTTCAGATATGAGTACCACTGGTGTGATGGTTCACAATACAAGAAGCCCACAGCCCTACCAGCCCCTGTCTATATAGCCTTACTTATGGACTGGGTAGAGGCACAGATTAACAATGAAAACATATTCCCGGTCAAAGTTGGTGAGTGTGCTGCTCAAACATTATAAAATAGCAAAAGAGGGCTATAACTATCTTTGTTAAGGGGCGGATGTACCCAAATATAGCTAAAAATAGCCATTTTTGGTTTTTTATGTCTAATTATTGGTTAAACGTGTATCTAACGTTTAACAGAATAAAATTTTTACATTTTGAACAAAAATTTTGTTTTTTCTGAGGATTCTGATGCTGCACACATAGGCAGCGGTGGCCTGGTATATGCCCCGCCTTCGTTGTCAAGGGCCGTTGGCATGGGTAAACTCGGTGGGCGGACCTTAGCAGCATCAGCACGTCTAGGGAAACAATAGAACAGGGATGCGCCATGCCCCCTTTGTCATAAACAGCGATCGGCAAAGCAGTGCCTATTGTTCCGCTTAAGCTGTTTTGATAGTCTCTCTTGATTGTGATCAGCACTAAGATGAATCTTTTCCGACACATTGGATTTGCTCGAAATACGCGTTCTCCCTTGAATATTGCTTGTTGTTACACGCGTTTTTTCGATTTTCTTGTTAACTTTTTGAGATACGCAAAAGAAAAGAAGAAAATTCCGTTGCTTGCTACCCGTGACAACAATCGTCATTCTTTCTATCCATTTTCGCCAACAGGTCGATGCAGTTTAGTGTTAGATTTTAAAAATATGCATGGGGGTAACTAGGCATACGCACGGATGCACTGTGCGTACATTTTTTTGGCCAACCATGATATTATTTTATATAAATTTAGTGTATTTTTCACGGAATATAAAGAAATTCTCTGCTTATTAAAGTCACCTGTATGAACAAATCCTCTGTATCAATTGTATAGGCACAATTGTTCTGACACCCCCCTCCCCCCGTCTTTCATACTTTTATTGAACTGAGGTAAACAATGCCTGAAACCTTAACAAGATATATCTTAATCGTCCATCTAACTGGAACTTCCTTTACCTCTTAATTGGAGGG